ATAGAATATTAAAATTTCAATAATTTATTACATCGATGAAAAATAAAAAAAGAATCGTTAAAAATTTAAGATAGAATGAGATAGAATGAGTATAAAATCAAAATTCGTTAACCGGTTAGATACAAAATATTAATAGTAATCTTTTTCTCTAGCTCAAAATTTTCATTTAGTTCCTTTCATGTCCATTGCCAAAATCTTCATTGTATTTAGATGCTATTTGAGTGAGAGAAAAGCAATGAGTATGATGACTTTAATTCATAAATTAATAATAAAAATTTCTCAGTTATTATTGCACTAATATATCGATGTGCACGATGTATTTTTTATTACATTTTTATTATTTTATTTACATTATATATGTATTAAAATTGTGAAATTGCTTCGTTTGTTATTGTTAATATTTCTTTTATTATTATTAATTCAATATTAATGCAATTTACAATCGTAATTTGAAATTAATTATTGCGGATATAACGATAAATAATAGCATTATTAATTTTTAAGCTCAAATAACAATAGTAATAGAAATTTAATTTATTTTGCGATATTATTTCTTTAGAAAACATTCGTATTCGAATGTCATCAGAAATATTTACAATGAAAATTTAAATATACAATCTTTATCGTAATGAATCTGGTCATTGTCAATTGATTTCAAGAAAATGATACGTAAAGTTAAAATGTGAGAATAATGTGATGAAAATCGAGTGTTGGAAATATTTTTCTAAGTGCTTTCCTTAGTTTTTTTTTAAATATAGGACTAAGGAAGATAGTATATTTTTAATATAGATGTTAATAATAAGTAGATAGGACTAGGCAGCAATTTCTATTCGGATAGACGTTTTCGCGTAACAATTTGTTTCAGGAAATAAAATTTAAAAAACCGGGAATAAAGCTGAGACAATGTACCAGATCGATTTCTTCGATCTTTCCTTTCAATCGATTCTTCGAAACGAAGTGTGAGCCTGAGATTGTACGCATGTAAGGGACAATTATCATTGCGATCATTCATCGTCTATAACTTCCATAATTTTGATGAAAAATATCGATAAAAATTTAATTTGGATTAATTTACTTTAGATTTCCGCGTTGATTTTCTTTAAAATTCTTTTTGTTGCTTGTGTTACGCAACAATCAAATGTTTGAATGTTTTGCAAAAGAAGAAATTGAGAATTATTTGAAAATAAAGGAGGATGGATGAGACGATCAGGGTAAGGCCTCTATTTTGTAGCAACTTGAGCTTGAATGAAGACAATGGAAAATCATTATTATTTAATATACAATATATAATATAAATGTGTATAGTCATATCAATACAATTGTTATATGTTTATAAGAAATAAGATAAATCAATTGATTGCGATTGAGCGAGATTATATTTTTCGTAGGTAAAAATGTTTATCAAACATTATATTATTATAGATGATAAATATTTTCATTTCAAATTGCTAATGTTAACCGTTATATAAAAAAAGCTTAGATTTTTATTTTGTATTTTTTGAGCGATTTAATTTTATATACGTACTTAAATTATAATATGCTAGATGGCGTGAGAAACATTGTGATCTTTTTGAGGTTGGTATTTCAGAACGTGTAACATAAAGATCCCATAAGATGTCACGCCTATTTTGTTTCTCGTCCGTGGTGGTAGAGTGCTGGATATTTGGTAAAGTGGATCACTTGGTTCCGATCAGTAAAGAGCGAAGACGACGGGTGTGTGTAGAGGAGAATCGTGTGGGAGGATGAGTTTTGGCATGTCGGTGCAATGGGTGTTCTCTGGCGAGCCCAAGTGTTGGGCTGTCATGAGTCGGGAGCAGTGAGGCGGGTAGTCAGTGCGTCGTCAGACTTCGCGTCGTCGTGATGTTATTTTGTTTTTTGTCTTTCTGATTTTCTTCTTTGGGGGTTCATTCAGAGATTTTCTTCGTCGGGGGAATATATCAAGTATCGTGTTGTGACTTTTTATATATAATTTGTAACAGAGAATGATCGCCATATATTCTTTGAATTAGTTAGAAATTTAATAATTTAATATAGTTATCGTTATATTTAATTTATCGTTTAGATTGACTTCTGTGATTGTTTTACGCGTATATTATTGTATACAAAACGTAAGCGAAATTGAAAGAATAAAATATCGGGAATAAAAAAAGTATATATTTTTAATAAATTTTCCTCATTTTCCTTTATTATATTGATTTATTTATTTTATGCTGATTTTTCACAATTCTTCTTAAGAATTTTCAAATCCAAGTGTGATTATCTTTTCTCTAGTGTGATTTAAATATTTATCAAATGGCTTCTATCAAATTTTTTTCATATATGAAGGTATGTATTAGTATTTTTTATAGTATATTTTGCACGCATTTATTTTTGATTTATTAATTTATTTCGTATTGTTATAAATATCAATTTCATGTGTATTTCGCGTTGTGTATAAATTTTTATAATCGAATATCAATAATTGCCATATCAAATAATTTTATTTGTCATAGAATAATAATATTTCATATCTCTATATATAAATTAATATCTTTTATAAATTTTCTAGATCAATCTTTATTTATTTGAACATTTGATTCGTTCGATTCGATTTAAATATCTAAAAATAATATAATATTTTTATTAATAAAAATTAATCTTATTTTTTATATCAAATTTGATTATTTAACATAAATATTAAAAAAAGAAAGATATAAAGATACAAGTTTTGCATTTAAAATACATATAGTCCATATCCTTTAAGCATTTGTTATTAATCGTTAATATTAATTATATTATATTTAAGTTAAATATTTTATTTTTATTATTACGCGTATCATCAATCTTCTTCAAATATATCAATTTTGTTTATATGATTATGAAATTTTCGATAATACACACATGTAAGTATGTATATATATATATATATATTACATACATATATGTATATACTTAGATGTATATCTAATTAAAATTAATTTTCAATTTTCAATTGATGTGTTTGTATCGGAGATCATAATATTCTTAATGTTACAATAATGTTACATTATTTGTTTTTTATATCTCGAATATTTTATCAATATTTTATCAATAGTCTTTTCAAAAAAAACGAACAACGAGAATCAATCATTAAAACGCAATGAAATCTTTCAATGAAAGATCCGAATCAATCAATTAAATAGAAATATTCGTATCTTTTATTGCGATTTTTATTTTATAATATTTATTTTTTTATTTTTCTGTCGTCTTTAAATTATTGCGATATGTAAAAGTATGTAAAAATAAATATTTCTTAATTTAATAAAATTTCAACATATATATGAAGAAAAATTGACTTTCAAAATATCAATATTTATTGAGATAATATTGAAATATATTATTTTTGTTCTTTATTTTTTAATAAGTTGGTATATTATCGAATCATTATCGGTATTATATATTATATTTTAAATTATATTTTTATTAAAATATAATAATATAAAAAGGTTTATATCAATATGCTTAATCAATTTTATAATTGCACGTATCGATAATTATACCTATAACTTATGCAGTGATAGGAGAAATGTGAACAAGAAGTTTGGAGATTGATTTAAAGTGAAGGTTACACTATAGTTCATCAATTTACCATACGATATCGAACGAACGGCTTGTCTCATTCTCATTGTTGTATCGATGTCGAGTCACATATTTGCGAATTTTTATGAAGTTTTTAGAATATTTTGTCATATAAAATCATTTTCATTTGTTAATTCTATTTCTTATACTATACACATATAAACACGAAATTTTTGCTTTGTTTTTTTTTTTATTCATCGTTTTATCTGATTATTATTTACTTCCAAAGTACGAAACATATCTATAATTTCGTTTTTTTATAAGCGATTATTATAAACAGTTTGTAAACAGTAAATCGAAATCAAAGCTGATTCTTATAACTTAACCGATACCTTTAACTTTTCTATTTTTTAATTCAATCTTCTATAATCTAATATATATTAGAATATTTTCGTGAAACATTTTTCATGATATTAATTTTGTTTGTAACTGATTAAAAAGCAAGATTTCATTAAAAATAATTGACACAACACATTGTTATTAGTGGTAGATGATGAGGAATAAGTTATATATAATAGATCCATAATATATGTATGCTTGTAACATACCTATATATGTACATATATGTACGATGACATTGTAAATTGATGAATTGCATCATTATAGAGGAACCGATAGGAACGTTAGACAAGTATCGTACAATGGTAGGCAAGATTAGTAGCATATAGTACATACATACATATATATATATATAAAGGTAAATAATATCGAATTATTTTTCTTATATAAAATACGATGATAAAAATAAACGAAATTGGTAGTTATCGGAAACGAACAATTTTATATATATGTTATTTAAATTAATTATAACAAAATAAATTAATAATTTTTATTTTTTATCGACAACTTGACAAATTTATATATTTGTAATATTGTTTTTTTCTTATATTTACAATATTTTATATTTTAAGATATACAAACAAAAATAAAACTTTATTGACGAAATAAAGATAAGATTAATAAGATTAATTATACGTTTTATGATTAGATTGCAAATTTTATATAATTAAAAAATGTGTTCAAATTCATTTAATGAAAATATGTTTTATACATGTATGTGTGTAAAAGTGAAAGAAACATTTTTCACTTGTCTAGAATTTGGGATAGGTCAGTGAAGCGAGATACGATTCCGAGAGAGAGGTTCGGATAAATGACAATGATAGGAATAAGAAATAAACATGGTTAAAAGTTATCCTTTTCTTTTTTTCAACGATAATATTTCGAGAATCGAAAGAAAAATTTAAAAAATTTTAAAACAAACAGCAAAGTTTCAAAGATTTTTCATTCGTTGACTCGGAAATCATTATCTTTAGAATTATTTTTCATTTTTAATTTCAATGTGATTAAATTTTAAAGTGAAAATTACACGATAAATGAATTTATTTCTAAAAGAATATTGTTTGTAATGCTTATAATGATGCAATGATATAAAACGATATAAAAATCTTGTTTCTCTCGAAGAAAGTTAGATCTTTATTTAATCGATTTTCATAATATGTGGATATCTGTAATCTGTATTTATCGTATTCATTTATATAAAATGCATTTATGCAAAACATGTAATATATAATGTGAAAAATATGCGCAAAAATTCGCTATCATGATCAGATTTCTAAATAAAATTAAAGAAGAATAATTTAACATTGAATATTATTGAAACGTTGATTTTTATTTGTCAAATATAATAAGTGAAAAATCGTATTTATGTTGTAAGTTAATACGTTCGAAACGTTTAAAGTTAAATATTTGTTATCGTTTATAAGATTTTTGTTTATTGTTTAATAATTTATAGCGTTATACAATTAAAAATTCTATATTTTTTTTTTATAAATGTATATAATAAATATTTTTATTATATAGGATGATTTACGCAATTGTTTCCGGTATATAAATAATAAAAAAATAAATAAAAATAATTCCGCAATCATCAATGCAGTAAATAATTAAAAAACAGATAAAAAATACAGACAGAAAATAAAATAAATATTTGAAAATGTATTATATTTCTATGTATATTTCTAAAGCAATCCACGATTACATTCGTAACGAAAATATGTTTTTACAAATGTGTTAATATAATTTTTACAAGATATTAATCCTAACGTTGGATGTGCAAGTAAAAGAATGCAAATAAAAAAAAGTATCAAAACGATTGTGAAAGAATTAAGGGATTATTGATTTCTTTCTTATCGAAATATATATATCATTTTATTTTACATGAATGCTACTAACAATCTACGAAGATATATTCATTTTTTATATACTCATTTCTATATAAATTTATTAAACCACGCGTATATATATTAAGTCGATTACAAAAAAAGATTAAGAAAGATTTCGAAAGTGGGATAGAAATAAGAAATAAGAAAGAAGAAAAAGCAAAACCAATGAGAGCGAGAATCGAATAATAAAGATGTACGCAACTAACGAGCCGAAACGAATCTCAATACTCCCATAGATTTTACAATAATTAAAAGAAAGGAACCGTTATATCGTATTATACCTACCGTAATTTGCCCCCGGACATTTCTCCGTTCTCGTTTCAGTTTTCTTCTTTGTCTCGATCGAGTTTGAAAGAAACTTTTTTATACAGTCGCATACAAAATACAATCTTAAAATTGTATTTAATTTCATTTATTTATTTTATAGATACGATTTGAATTATTTATTATATCTATTTAGCAGAGAAATGGTGGAAGAACTCAGCGATAATAGAATCGGGATTGGATCGGATTCCCGAAAGTACTTCGATAAACTTTATTAAATATTTGATTCGAAATCGTAAAAATCTAATTCTTTTAATTTTATAGACGAATATAATTTCAAAATGTTATTCGGCTTCTCGAAAGTTACCTCGGGGAGAGAATAACTATTTCGATCACGTACATCGAATTTCTTCACATTTTTCTATATGTACAATTTAATATATGTCGTATCTTGATAGTTATAACATGCTATTCGCGTATTAAAATTGTTAATTTTATTATGTACATATACATATACATATACATATACATATATGAATAAAATGTAGATATATTTATTATTTCGATGTGTAAAAATGTGACTATATTTTTCTATAATTTTAAAAAACAGAAATTTTAAGTTATTTTTGGGATTTTACATTAGAATAAGAAAATAAGATTCTGAAAGATGTGAGAAATGTAAAATTTTTCAGAAGACTGAACATCGTACAGGATATTTTGATGCGATAATTAACCATCTTGTTGATTCGTATTTCATTATTTCTGTCCATAAACGAAAAATATTTGAAAATTTATCCAAGTACATATAAATTTTCTAAATTTCTATTACGTTCTCTCGATTACGAAAAATAAATGGATAAATAATAATAATAATAATAATAATAATAATAGAAAATTTTATTCTTCTATGTTACAGATATCTTAATCGATTGTGCCTTGGCATCATATGCCATTTGAAAATACAATTTTATAACGATGAAAATGAGAAGTAAAAGGAAAATTGAAATTGAACGATTTGTGAATCGTGAAATTGGAAAGGTGGATGTCGAATAGTGTCGAATTTAATATCGGTTGAAGTGAATAAATTGTTTCAGTTGGTGCGTATAACAATGACGGATGTTGAGATAGTTATTCCAAGTGGTGGTAAAATGAGGGTAGCCGGACCAGAAGTACGGGAGAGATGAAAAATTGTCGGGTCGCGCATTTGCCAGCCCAGCCTCATACGAGACGCGAATGTCTCGTTTGGGCTAGGAGATTATACGCGAGTTTTCAACCGTTTAAAAACGTTAACCAAAGAGAAAATGGAACACAAGCAAACAATCTTGCTTGCACCAGCGCTGAGCAACAGCAGCTGTTGGCGGAGAGACACGTCCGAAACCACTTGGACTGGACCAGGCCCTGGAGAATTGTTACGCGCTACTCTAATTCTCGTGCTCAGTCTCGGTATTCTTTGTGCCAATTTGTTGGTAATATGCGTCATAAATAGCAGACGATACAGCAAATATATTCACGCACAGGTTGGTAAATTAAATAAATATAAAAGATAGTTAAAAAATATGTATTATATATAATTATATAAAAAGATCGATCGATTTACAATTATAGGATTTACTTAAAATACACGAATAGGTAATTTTTAAAACAATTTCTCTCCTTTTTTTATTATCAATTAGCAAAAACCATCTGATGCGTATAATTTTATATCTCGAGTTAAATAATTTTTACTCGAGTTTTCATTCAATTGAAACGTATATATATATATATCAATGAATCCATCCATTTAAAATAGATATTCATTGCACAATGAAATAACACCTGAACAATGTAATCTAAACGATCAACAGGTTCTCTTCAACTTTATTGCAGCCAAAGTACTTACTGACAAGTTTAGCGAGCAACGATCTTGCTATTGGTCTTCTGGTTACACCATTCGGCTTTCTACCAGCTGTTTATGGATGTTGGCCTTACGGCGAAATTGTGTGTCAAATACAGGTAATAAAACGTATGTGTTGTTTTCGTCATTCATATCAGTTATTCGCACGTTTTTTCAATAATATATTTCTTCTATGCAATTCTATGGATATAACGGATTATAATGGATTATAATGGATTAAATATAATATAATATCGTTGTATAAGAATGTATAAAGTATATTATAATTTAATGATGCGATGAATAACTTTATTTAAAAGATATTTAAATATTTAAAAGAAATATTTAAAAGAATAAATATTTAAAAAATCACGTAGATCACATAGTGGAACTTTTCGAAATGAAAAAAATCGTTCCTTTTAGATGCGTATATATTTTGTAATATCATCGTGATACAATATATAACGTATAAAAGTTTTTCAGTAATAAAAAATTTTCGTTTATCGAATTTGAAATTTTACAGTTGCATCTCTTATTAATATCATATTGAATAAATATAACATGCAATGTATTTAAATAATTGTAAATATAATGTTCGAATTATCGTATATTTTCTATCTTTGGCCGATAAAATTTTGATACAGCATCCTATGCGTCTTGGAGAATTTCCTACCGGAAATCGAAGAAAAATGGGTGGGAAATGTCAGCAGCTTGTTCATACCGCGCTAAGGAAATTATCACCACTAGGAATTTGCAGCTGTGCTTCCTGCAGTCGGTACCTTATCCGGTATATTTCTTCCAATAGTTGGTAGTTACACGTTATTCGTCATAATTTTCGTCTAAATATCATTTTCATATTCTTCTTCTTTTCTCTTCTTTTTCTTCTTCTTCTTCTTCTTCTTCAATACATTAATTAAGGATTTTCTTAATCTGGTAATCCAGTAAATTTCAAAAAATAAATTATAAGATAGAGATGGAATAAAGACGCGTGTTATTCTTATTATCTCGGTAACGGAATCTAATATAGAGAAAATAAAGAAATTATACGATAATGTAAAGTGTTATATAGGAAAGAAGCATTTTTTTCCAGCCTCGGATCAAATAAGAGAGTTTGATTTTTCGCGAAAGGAAAACGAAAGGAAGAGCGCACTTAACCAACTAACCAAGAAGATTGAGAAACTGTGAATTTCTTGGTAGAACGATCGAATAAATTCGTTGTGCGGTGAAAATATTCGGTTAAGGTCCCTCGGGAGTGTCTCGAGGATAGCCCGAAACGAGGCCAGGGCGATCCTAGCCCCTCCAGATCGGAGCTTTTTCCTGGCCGTACGCCAACGGTCACCATAGCAACCATCTTAAACGTATAGTATCCTCTCACATCTCTTATCCCTTAACTCCTTTCTTCGTAGTCGCTACTTTATAGATACACTGGCGTCACCGATTCATCGAATCACGTTGTCGCCTTTGGCGCATCGCGTATTTGAAAGTATAGATACTTGACTCGAACGAGAAAATATTATTCGTTCTTTTTAAGTTTGTCGAAAAACGCAAAAAGAAAAAAAAAATTCTTTAAAAATAGTATTCCGAACAATCTATAAAGTATGAAAAGTAATTAATAATTGATTTAATTTATTTTTTCTTCTTTTTTCAGGCGCTTCTTAGAGGAGCTTTGACCCAACAAAGTGCCGTTATCCTTGTTTGTATGGCGATTGATCGTTACGTTTGTATGCTGCATCCACATCATTATCACAAACACGCATCTAAAAAGGTATGTTTTTCGAATGTACGTTTGATCCTGTTATTCTTATCTCTATTCTTATATTCGTTTTAAAATTATTCGCTTTCTCAAATTTTATATATACATATGTAGAAAAGTCAACAAATTATTGAATTATTGAATGTGCTATAGTATAAACCGATCGAGAGACGAAAATCGATTGAAGAAAAATGAGCGCAGATGAGATAAAGACGATAGATATGGTAAACGAACACGATATAGATCGATGCGATTCTTTTTTTAATTTGATTCACTTGGTTTCCCGTCGAAAATGAAATTTTTTTATAGCTTTCCATTATTTCCGTGCTATTTGGAAAATCGTGTTAGGATATTTGTACAAAGACAGCAAAATTTAATTAATTATTTTCATTTTATAATAATTAATCATGATTTATATCAAAATGATATAAAAACAATATATCAAAATTACACGGATTATAAACGGAAAAAAGTCAATTGCGTGTCCTATATATTCGTTATGAATGTGCATAATACTTACAAATCAAGACAAATTTTAACTTTAATATCTTTTTTCTATTTTTCGTTTCGGAGAACATCATACATGTTGGATGATACGCGATCAAGATGGCGATCTCGATCTCGCCGAAATCTTTCTGGAATAAGTAATAAAGAATTCATCTCAATCTTTTTTTCAGAAGTTAAATTCTTCTAGAAAATTCTAGAGAATCGTTTTCCACGTGTGAAGAGACCACGCAAGATGTCGACATCCCGAATATTAGATCGCGATATATCTTCTTACGAGTATCGACAACGTTCAAAATTGTGCGTTTATAATTCCGGTTATCGGTAATACAATACTTTTGAAAATGGATCTATATCGAACGATGCATCGACTTTGACACGTGGTATCGCTTTATACAGGAGGAATCGACAATAGTACTTGAAGCGACAAATTTGTACAAATAATATGTACATAAAATATGTACTTTAATCGAACTGAATCGAATGAAACATTAGTTTTAACGAATCTGTTTAATGATATATACATATACATATGTACTATAATTTATAACTTATCAAGATGTTTATATTCGATCTTTCTTTCGATCGTTCAAAGTATAAAATACGCGGGATTATCTAAAATTAAAAGTAACGCGTTTTTATATATTAATCAATATATTTCTTTTTTTTCTTAATGCTCTTTTTGAAATGCTCAAGATTGAAACGTTTAATCAGTATACGTGATACATACCGATATACATGTTTAAATTAAATAAACAACTAGATAGACGAGCGACGCATTATTTTGAACAAATACGCGACAATTGGAATAAGTTTATAATATATGTATTTGGATGACTAGTCGCAATCGCGTACCGTGTCGCTCGTCCAGCCTCGCATTATACGCTTAAAGACAAAAGAAGAATGATTATTTTCTGTGTATGTGACGCAGTATTACATGCGGCAGGGTTGCGTAGCAGTGATGTCGACTACTTGGATAGCGAGCGTGGCAATTTTCGGTGCTCTCGTGCTTCCAAGAGGAGGTTATTACTTCAACGATTCCGGTCTTCTCGCCTGTGATCCTTTTTTTGCCAGGGCTTCCCTCAGGTAACTCGTTTCACCATATATTTTACATCCTATAACATTACTAGATTAGCCAGTTTCGTTAATTATAACGATATCGATATATTCATTCTTAGGATATTACCATCTATCGAAACATAAAAATATAATTTTGATATCGAAAACTTGTCTCTTGTTTTCGAGACGAGAGATGGATATGTAAGGAAGGGAGAGAAAATAAAATAAGAAAAGAAAAGTATTATATCGAAATCGCGTATAAACGAGACACGATTTTAGACAAATTTTCGAGCATAAAAAATTTCATACCTTTTTGTAATTCGATCGATTTATCGCAATATCACCAAAGAATTGATAATTCGGTAATAAATAATCCAAGAAAGTTTATAAATTGTATTCAACGATACGATACGATACGAACAAGGATATCATTTTATTCGTGTATCGAGTAATATATCGTATATATTTTTACCAATATGTATTCTTCTTTTTCCAAGTATTTATATTTATCTCTATTAATGTTCATTCGTTCAATTTGAATATTTTCCTCTCAAAGCATCGTAATCGAGATATTTGTCGAATCGGCCAATTATAAATTTCTATCGTATACATTTTCGATTCGAGTACATTCGATATTTGTACATGTAAAAAAACAAATTTATTATTATTATCAGTTATTATCTCTTCTCTTTTTTTTTCTTTTTTCAGAATTCTCGCGTGTTGTTGTTTTTATTTTCCTACGACGATGGTGCTGATGTATTGCTATGGTTCAGCCTTTCACGTTAACAAACTGCGCTTAAAAAGGGTGGTTTGCGTTAACACACCGGAGGTCGTTAGCGGAGGCCATATGGAGAGGGTAAGTCAAGTTTGCTGCCACTTCAACTGGCAATCGATAGACTCGATTTAACAAGAAACTCGTCCGATAACAAAACAGTGATAGTTTTTCTCGATCATCGATCGAATCGTTGAATGCTTGATCGAATTTTAATTTCTTCGAATTGTAACTGCGATGATCGGAATGTGTTCGTTTTGTGAAATCATTTCACATTTTTATTCGTTTATACAACATTTTTCGCTTAATAATTTCGGATAATCTGTATATTATATAAATATTTTTAAAAAATATTACTTATTAGCAGATATACGTATATACCGTTTTCCAATAGTCGATACGTTGTAGCTTCGTTTAAGATATTGCAACGATTAACCTATATTTATTGGTCCGTTATTAATGCGTGCTTATCCGATTCGAAATAACGTTACCCAAATATCATTTTCATTTAACTTTACTGTAAACGGGAAAAGACGAGAATGATGAAAACTTGGAATGGAATGGAAAAAGGAATAAATTCTTGATAAATATTTTCATTGAATCGAAACGAAAAATGAATCGAATAATTTTAATTATGGGAATTTAATTATGGAAATTTTGCTTACGCAAAATTTTTTAATTCTTTTTTAAATTTATGCTCGATTAATTGAAATCCTACAATTATTTATAATTCTCGTTTTCGAACGAAATTTTAAACAGAGAGCAAAATTCAACAATAATATTCCGATAATCGCGACTTGTCAAGATTTTTCAACTTAAGCTTACGACTTACTGTCGTCAGTTAGCTTAATTTGTCGCTACGTTTGAATTAGGGATTTCAGTTGTTGAGAAGAGTTGCCAAGGATTTGGTTAAATACATTTAGCTTGTAACTTGATTAAAATAACTTCATAAGAAGAAATTTGATCGAAAAGATACAAATTTATTGATCTCGATTACGTAATTCGATTACGATACGTAATTCGTGGTAATAATCACACTGTGTGATAGCGGACCGTTCGTAACAATTTGATTCGAAACACACCGATGAAGGTGACATTTGAAGTTGCGAACAAATTTTCACTCATTGAACTGAATTCGCTTTAGTTTTCCAATAATTCCAAGCTCTAGCGGTGTCGCGTACTTAGCCTAGTTTACTTCGATGTCTCGAAGCCTCGGTGAATACAGAACTTTTAAAAGAGCGTGTACGCGAGAAAGAAGGTAATCACGATAGATATTCATAAATTTTCGCCCGATCATCAACTTCTTTCCTCGTGTCCTCGATACTAATTATTTTTCCGAAATTATTACGTCGGAAAAACAATATAATATTTTTACTACGTCAAAGTAAAATACTAATCGAGTCGATGTGCGTTTAATATCAATATCTTCTATAAATTCTATTTCGAAAATTTATATTGTGTAAGTAAATAGTTGGTGCGTGTATATGTATTCGACGCAAGAGATCAACGATTCGTATTTTAAATAGTTTGAATAAAATAAATTAAAATAAATTAAAATTACGTATATTCCGAATTATTTTCACATATGCGATATTTAAATTAATTACTCGAAATAAAGATATCGCGATATCGCACGAGATTTCGTTGAAAAAAAGTTTTCTTCAAAGAAAATTTGAACGTGGGTATGACTTGGTTTAATGGAATACGTTCCGAACAGCTTATTTATACGAAAGTCTATCTTTTCTTGCTTTCTTCTCGATCGTTCTGTCTTTCTTCCTTTTACGACCCATAGCTTCGATGTAGGTCAATGGATGTTGGGAATGTCTTCCAAAGGCGTTCTCGAGACCACGGTCGTGCCGATGTGTGTAAGATGCATGGAAAAGGGAGCAAGCTTGCTATGCCCGTAGTTGGGGATAAGAGGGACAAAAAAGGAACTTTCGTTGTCGTTTCGATAAAAATTATTAAAATTCGAAATACCATCAATTATCCTACGATTTGTCGATACATCGATACGCGATATTTCAAATTTTCCCAAGTTACAATTTGCGTTTTGATAAAATATTTTGCCAAACTATAGTGGCGGTAATATCGGTGGATAATGACGCTATGTAGCGATTAATGATCCATAAATGAGATATTACGTTTCATCATCGATTGAAAATTCATTGAAATATCGTACGGCTAGCGAACAAGCGAAGAACACGATCGTTCCGTTCAATTTCTTCCTCTTATTATTTCCGCTTTTCACCTCATCTTTCTCCCGCCTATTGTGAGATAACGAGCTGGAACGAGCCCGATGAGGAATCAAATGGAATCGAGCCCGTACATTCAATTCGTGGGCGTTCTTCTGCAGGAAGATCGTCTTCCTTTCGTTTTTTACCCTTCGTTTCGTTTCTCGCTCATTAGCGTACAGCTTCCATTCTTTTTGCTTTTCATTTATCTCTATCTCGAGATTAGAGATAGAAATTTAAGAAACGCGTCATTTTATAAACCATTCTATATATATATTTTTTTTTCCAATTAAACGTTGAAAATTATTTTACATCGATAGATAAATGTATTTCGATCGTTTTTAACGATAACGACCGAGTTGCGAATGAACCGCGTTCTAGATGAAATTCAATTTCAAATTTATAACGGTTCGCGTAATCGAATCTTAAAAGTTTTATGTTCGTTGCTCGTAGTCATCCATTTTTCGAGAAAATTAGTTTTCTTTTTTTTTTTTTTAAAGCGTATAATTATAATTAGAGAGAAAGAGAGAGAGAGAGAGAACAATAGCTATGTACCTATTCATCATTGTAACGCGATAATTGTAATAGAGAAGCGAGATCGATAGATAGGCAAATAGTAATGATAATTTTGAGATCGATAAACGAAAAGTAAATACGAGAACGCGAGAAGAATAGATGTATAAGGATGAGAATAAGGATAACGATAAAGATGCGAAAAAGTATAAGACGGAGGAAGGATTTATCTAAACGAGCAGATTCGTAATCCTTTTACTGGCGCGCGATGAGAGACTTTGACGGTGACGAGCTTAGCGACTTTCGTAACGGTGTCAAGCCGGTCTAAAAGATTAGACATCCTATCTTTTAGACGTTAAGGTCCTCTTATTATATATGTTTCGTATTACCTTCGACTCTTCTTTTTTTCACTGATCTTTGAGATCATAGATTCAAAGAGTCTTTGAAAGTTATTATTATCGTTAAAAATATATAAAACGTATGATAATATAAACGTTACTATTAAAGGATATTCGATCAATTGACTATACACTATATACACGTAGTGTATTTATTTGCAGCTTGTAGCTCACGAGAGACGATTGTCAACTTCTGCTTCTCGAACAATGGCTGCGATGAGTTTAGGATTCATTGTTATGGTCACGCCATGGACGATTCAGGAAGTCGTTGCAGCTTGTACCGGAAGCAAACCACCACCATTCCTCGACTTCCTCGCCACGTGGCTTGCGCTTTCCAACAGCTTTTGGAATCCGTTCCTCTATTGGCTGCTCAACAATCACTTTCGTCGTATTTCGAGAGAACTTCTCTACACTAAGGTAATTGCGTTACAAACAAACGATAATTTTCTTTTCTTTTCGTCGTTCGTATCTTAAATAATATAACAGTGGAAAAATCGCTATTATTATTTTTTAAACGTATATATATAACCATCCCCAACATGTTGTAAGATGATACTCGATATACTTGTACTTACATTTCTCGTATAGTATATATCGCTTTTATATATAGTTTTAATCACATGTAACTTTGCATAATAATATAATATAATCGATAATATTTTGATAAAAATTGATATAATTGATGGATTTATCGCTAATTATTGACTTCGTTCGATGGAAGAACGATACATTCGTGCAAACATAAATACATCGAACTTATCCCGTTATCTCTGTTGATTTTTATATCGTTTGTCGTAGCTTGTACGCATACGCATTAGGTATCGATTTAATTCTATGCAAACCGGGTGTCTAAAGATGTAATAATAAGTTGCTTTCGCGCAAGATGCGTGAAATATTAATACATTAATCCCGTAATTTTTAAAAGATTTTTAAAAGGAATAGATATAATACGAATAGAGAGAACAGAAAGATTTCGAAGATCTTTTCTCGAAATCGTTATTTTCAACGAATTCGAATAATCCAAGTTTTAGAAGTATTAGAAGTAATATCGGCTATTCAAGACAGTGCTGTTCAAGCTTTATTCGCGAATAAAATGATTTTTGCTTACCGTATGTACCAAAAGTTTACGAATATTGATCATTTATAGTTATCGAAGGCTAATCCCTATTATATATCTTTCAACTATACTACCTACTAACGTTTCTCTTGCTCTAACAAATTAAACAAGTCGATAATTCTATGATACGAATACGACGCGATTAAGCGATATTTATGCAAAAGTACATACGAATTTTGTGGAATATTCGTGGAACGAAACGGTAAATTTTTGCGCGATAAAAATTTTATAGCGTGAAATTTTGTATTTGCAATTTTTCAGGTACTTTGTAGGCCGAAACCTTTGGGACCGAAACAACATTGTTGCGCCACTAGCACAGGTGGTCTTGATGTTTGTAACATGGCAGGAGTCGATTTATCAGGTGTGTAATATCTACTTCAAACTATTTCCAAATTCGCATTCCAAAATACGAGAATTTTTTTTCACTAAGAATGATATATCGATATTTACAAATTTTATCATAATCGTATCATTGTAATTTTATTGTAATTTGTAAACTCGTTCAAGGATTGTTTTTTATATTTTATTTTCCCATTTACGGATCGTTATGATTGAATACTATAATGTGATGATATTAGTTTATCCGTTAAATTAAATAAAACCATTTTGGTTTTAAACCAATCGCTGCGATGTATTTATCGATTAATCTCAATAATTGAAGCCAATTTTTTTGAAAAATCATAAAAAATACGTTAATATCTACTTTCCACTTTTTCCGCTTAATATAATTGAAATAATTGAAGCGAATAAAGATTATATTATGTAGTTCTTAATACATATAACGTTTAATATTTATATTATTTATTATCTATATATTATTACCAATGAAAAAACAAAATTGTGTAAAGATACAATTTAAAAAAGTTTATAAAGTTCATAGTAGTATGGTTTTGTTCTGAAAAAAAAAAAAATCCGCTATATACTTGTATTCGGTAAAATAATTCTTTTCTCTCCTCGAAGATCTCTCATCTCTTTTTTTTTTAACCGGGATCCCGATAAATAAAACATTTACGGGCGAAGCGTGATTTCTACTTACGAGTCGTGATGAGAGGATAAAACTTGTTTTCATCTCGTTACAATTTATAAATTGATTTTCTATTTTCGAGGACTTGTAATTGCGATTCGTCAATTTGGATTGTCTTTTAAAGATCGATGTATCGCATAATAATACAAACATATCGCGTTCCAGGTTTAGAGCGTTGCTCAATAGACCGTTTTTCAATGGCTCGATGTTCCTCTTCTTCGTTAGCCAATACACCACCACCACTTCCTTGGGAAACCGGACATGTCCTACATAACGACGCTACGCCAACGTGAGGTGGTACATTTTATATTTATATATTGTGTGATATTTTGCGGAAAATAAAATAGTATAGTATAACGGTAAATCTAACGATCAACGCGAATATATTTATTCGTTACGATTCGATAATTTTTTTGTCAACGCAAATATATGTATCCTTCCCATCGTTTTTATATTATAAAAAAATAAAATTTTTCTATTATATCCGATTCTTCGATTCTAGATGTTGAAATTATCGTTATCGAAATATCACGTCCCATTTATTTGATGGACTTATTAATAATTATTTGATGATTTCAGTTAGGGATGCCGTCACGCAAACGGAGGATATTGAATCTCCAACGCATGCTAGTTAGTATAGCGTGGCGGCAGAACATCATTCCGTGACTCGTAATCTTGGAACGGAGCGATCATCGCATCCTCGATCTTTTTCAAATAATTCGTCTTTGTCGATAATAGAATATTCTTTGTACGAAGAAAGTGCACAAATCCGACGCGATCGCTGTTTCTATTTGGAAAATACGTGTTTCAAAAGCGTGCCGGATTTAATTCGAGATCTTGAATTTAATTGACGTAATAATCTCAAATGTTGCCGAAGAAAATATATTGTGCTGTAATTTGCGATCAAGAATCAAATTCGTATAATGGACATTACGATTTTGTACTAATCAAAAGTTCAAAGTATTTTTTATTATAGATGAAGCACAAACTTCTTTCGACCGAAAGAAACGGAAAAAATATTATCTTGAAAATTAAACATAATTTTTCACTAATTTGAACTAGAATATAGATATATATGTTTATGGCATTCAAATATAAAATATAATAATAAATCTAAAAGAAAGTATATATAGGTACTATTATGTAAAATTATTTTACATCAATTTTTTTTTTTTATCTTTCTTTTCATGATTTCGAACGTAATGGGAAAAGGAAAGATAAAAAATCCTTGCTATATATCGTTAATAACGGTATATATCGCTATATATCGCTAATTTATGTAATATTTTTAATTATCGAACTCATTGAAAATTCATTGATTCATTGTCTTATATCTTGCCAATACACGTTTATAATAACCGCACAAATTATACGTATAAAATAATATTTAAGAAATTGCAATATAGATGTTAAATAGATATTATTTTTATCGTGTTTAATTATAATCCTTTATATTTTTTTCCCTTCGAACGGAATGATTGTTATGATTGATAACGCGATGAAGAAATTGTTTTAAGACATATTATTAGATTTGGAAACTGAAATTGAAATTGAATTATTATCGATTAATTATCGATTTATCTTAAAATTTCATTTATATTTAATATCAAGCGTTTAATGTTAATATAACTTCGTTAATATTGCACTTTTTTATCTTTTTATAATATTTATTGATAAAAGAACTCGTTTTTACTTACATACACACATAGACGCGCGCGCGTTGAATTAAGCTGATCGATGAATTAGGTAAAAGTTTATAAAAATTAGAAAAATCATTTATTTTTCCAATCAAATATGTTATTCATTCTCGCGTTATATGCTTGAATAAAATTATATATGTAAAACGCGATTATGAATGCGACAAAGATTTCATTTTTTAATAACGTATTAATTACTGTGAAAAATAAAATATTAGTAACTTTGGTATAATATAATATAAAGGAATAGTTTATATATATAACGTAAAATTATATATATTAGTTATATCTAGTTATTTACACACACTTATATACGTGCATACGCGTATATATTCGTTAATTTATAGCAAAATGAGGATATTTAATAAAAGAAAAAAATGTTTGAGAAACTGTAAAATATATAATAATATTTAGCATTTTTAAGAAAAAAAAATATTATGCTTTCCAATGATCATTATATTACTTATATACAATTACATTGCAATAATAAATTTATTTATCGAATATTGTACCTATAATAGTAGATTATTATTATGTATCATGTTCTATGGTTGAAATAAAAAAAAGGAAAAAAAAAAAAAATAGCAGAGATTATAAATCGAGAATTTTGAACTTTAGATATTTTTCATTGATTTTTGTCATTTCGGAGAAGCCAATGTTAAATCATTGTCTATGAACACGATGCAACGGTTTATCGAATATGTTGAAATATACATATATTTTTTACTATGTAAAATGCTGTGAATATAGGTATTATTTTTTATATACAATTATGAATACAATAAAAAAAAAGAAATAAATTAATAATGTTAAAACTTTTAATATGTTTAAAATAAACATCATTTTCAATTGTCGTTTAAATAATAAACTAACAAATATCATTTATGAGTCGATTTATAAAAAATTGTTAATATATGGTGTAGGTACGGTTGTAGGTACATTTTCGATATTACGAATGTACGTTACATCTTTCCTGAACTTTCTAAATTTAAGAAATTATTAATTTAATAATTAAAAAATAATCGTAATGTTTTAAATGTAATTTGTTTTGTATTCTTTTTGTTTCAATTATGATTGAGTTATTTACAAAGAAATTAAATCTCGCGTAACGCAAATTAGTAAAGCATGTATAATATTTTATAATATAATCATTTGTAAATAGATCGTGGTATAAAAATAGAGAAAGTTAAAAATGAGAAAAAGAGTTAAAAATTTGAAAAATTGCAAATACGAATACTTTAGGATTGTTATATCATACAAAATAAATGATTCAGGGACTGTTATAGTTATATAAGTTTGAAAAATTGTTATTCATATGACGTTTCTTCATATGAAAAATTCCTAAATGTAAACAACCGTATATTGAATATACGAATTCAACAACGTTATTTAACATAAATATAACATTAATATAACATAAATATAATTTATAATAATGGAAAAGAAATTAAAATTAAAAGAAACGATCGAATAATTGATAATAAAATGATTTGATTTACATATGCATCATAATTAAAAAAAAAGAAAAGTTGATGTAATGTTATATTCGAATATATAGTTGGAATATATAGTTTCGTAATATATATACGAATTCGAATAATATACAATACATATATATGCATATACCGATATCCAATATATTCAGTCTATGGTATTGGATAATCTGGATAATGTTGAATCAGTTTTGTTTAATTTGTTTAATAAATAATTCCGAATAAGAAATAATTAAGTTCCGTTTTGTTATCGTTAAAATAATTTATAATTATTTTAATCTTTTTTAATGCGAGAAAAACAAGATATTCTTTAAAAATAGAAAAATAAAAAAAATGTAAAAATTTATCGATTTCTTGGATCATTGTCTTGAAATTAGAAATGTAGAAAGAATTTTTTATATCTCTCTTGATTTTTAATTTATTAATTTTTTGCAAATATTTTTATTATAAAATGTTTCGTGTATTTATAGAAATAATTATAAATATAGATAGAGTTTAAAAATGATACATGTAATAAAATAGTGGAAAAAATATATAATCTTAACTATTATATATTATACAATTACGATTTTAACGCGTTATACAATATTATGCTAATCGTATAAACTTTAGCTATATTTTTTTCAATTTTTAAATTATTTATAATATTACATTGAGTTATACATATTTATATATAATATATTACATTAACGTAATGTACATATGTATGGTTTTTATTAAATGTAATGCTGGAAGACATTGTGACGATAGATACGAACGTTGTAAATTGTACGATGTGAAATCAACAAATTTTCGTAAAAATTTTGAATTGAATTTTACTTTTTAAATAATATTTTTCATATACATACACATATATTGTTAAATATAATTATATAACTTATTGTAAATAATTTTGTACATATTAGTTCGATATTCAACGTTTTATTATTTGTCATTTTATTATTTTTTTTAAATTCTACGATTACAATATTTATATCTATGCGATATAATTCTCATATTATTCGTTAAATGATTATTGTATAATAAGGAAAAAAATGTAATAGTTAATTGTGTTTAATCGCAAATATTATAATTTTCTTATGGAACAAAATATAAAATTAAGTATACATTGTAAGACAAAGGAAAAAGAGATGAAGAAAAAGAAAAAGAAGAAGAAGAAGAAGAAGAAGAGAAAAAGGAAGAAAAAAACATATGATCTATATTAATCTTTTACAATATTAGAATATATATTAGTAAAATTAAGGTCGAATTGTTGAGAGTCGATAAGAGCGAAACACTGCCTGTTGGCTCACCAACAACAACGTGAAAGCTCCTTTGTAACGATGAAACGAAATATTTATCATTGCCTCGAACACAGATAACTATTCCCTATCGAATAGGGCACAAATCATTTTTGTATCGAATAAGACAACGCGTATCAATTTTAGATACTTGGGATACTTATATAATTAGAAAAATTAGAAATAAAATATTAAACGAAGAATTTAGATGAAACGCATAAATAATCAAAGTAAAAATAATTATGAATTTTATTCCTTATTTTATATTAAAATAATTGTTTTAATTGGAATATTTTTTGTGTATCGATAAATATATATATATATAAAATAAATAAATATAATTAATTTACCAAGTTTTTAAAAAATTTAAATTTTTGTATATAAATTTCCAATACATGTACATTGATTAGAACTTTTCGATATACTTCAGATTATTTACGCTTCGTTATTCACAAATAATTTCAACTTTTTATAAAATTAAATATTCGCATCTTCTATATCCATCAGAAATAATATATAGTTAATTATAGAACTTTATAATATTGATTACAATGTTAATTTGGAGAAATATACATACACAATTCTCGTAAATAATATTTTTGTTCGTTATTTGAAATATAATATATAAATATACAAAATATATAATGGTGTTAGATAAAGTTAGTGATGTTGTATCCTATAGATATATTCTAATTCTTATTAAGAATAAAAAAATGTATGAAGTGAAAATAATATGATTGCAAATTTTGTTCGTTATTCGATTACAATTCTTATATTTTTTATTATAATATGTTCCTCGCCTCCCCCCCTCTCCCTCCCCCCTTCTCTTTTCGCTCTTCCGTTTAGTGAAAGTCATCGAATATTCATTTATTATAACGATACAGAACATATTCGACGTTCTTTTCCAAATAATTGAAAGAATCGGATAATTATAAACGTAGGCTCTTCTTAATGTTAAAAAGAAACTTTATTACACGATATTATCCGATGTTTAACTTTTAAATTTTCAATTGATGTAACATGGTGATGAGAAGAGGCTTCTCTTTACATTTTGTACAATATCATTTATTTACAAGAATAAGTTTATACAATTTACAAAACGATTTATACAATATAATAGATGGATAGATTTGTTTTTATATCGGCACGTGTTCACAGCGGCAACGAATGTCAGGAACGATTGACAGCTATTTCCGTTTAATCGATATACGATTTTCTTTGGAAATTTTCTAGCATATCGAATAGGCTTTGAAATTTCTTATTCTTAGCGGCTGTCAAAGAGTTTCGACAATTTCTACGCTGTGGTTGTTATTTTTAACTAATAATATTATAATTTATTATTATTTTATTATTAAATTATTGTAATTTGATATAAAATTATCAAATTGTTAAATAAATTAATTAATCGATATTATTGTACATAACGATATACATTACTATTGATCTAAATTCTACAAATTTATATATTATTTTGTCATATTTTGTTCTTTGTAAGAAGCGAAAGAAAATATTTGACAATAGTATTTTGCATTTTGATAAATATATAAAAATTTTTTATAAATTTCTTTTTTCTCGGAATGTTATTTTAATCCATGTTTTACGTATCCATATATCATTTTTTCTATAAGAATATTATATAGAATATTTGAAAACATTGTCGTACAAATAATTGTACAATAGCTATCTATAAATATACGCAAATATGGATAGTATAACAAGTTCGATAAAAATATTTAATAATAAATTTTTAATGATAACGTATCAAATGTATTCTCCACAAATATATTCTCTAATTAATTAAACGTAATAACGATCGAGAGTAATATAATTGAAAATTTGCTTAAATTGCGTTGAAAAGATTAGATCCTGAGAACGGTAATTAATATTACGGTATTAAAATATAGGTATCGTTATACGAAGAGAAGATTTCATCACTTATAATAATAAATGGCATTTTATTACGTTGGTGTTAAATAAAGCTTTATCATCTGGAATTATATCCGATTTAAATGCAATAATAGATTTTTAATTTAATTTTCTGCGATGACAAAAATTCTATATCGTCCATCGATATTTAGACCGAATCGGATAAATAGTTTGAATTCGCAAATGCCGGTAAAAGAACGAAAAAGTTTTTCTATAGTTAAAAATATAATTTTTTATATTTGTATATATTTTTTACGATTACATTTTACTAATTAGGAAACTTTTGATCGATTTCGATGAAATGGTGTCGAATTCAAAATTTTAAATTACATTTTCTATCCGCACCGTCTCGGCCTTAATTTTCGAGATATTAACATATTATTAGATTTCTTAAACTACTAAGGATTCTTAACGCGATTTAAACATTATATTTTTATACTTACAAATCACTTTAATCTTTTAAATCTTTCATTATTAATTATTTCATATTTTACATTGATAATTATATAATTTTGAATTTTTGAAATTTTGTACCTAATGGAATGTTAAAAAGTTGTGTGTACAAAATGTTTATATTTTGTGTACAAATGAAAAAAAATGAAAAAAAAAACAAAAAAAAAAAAAAAAAAAAA